CATTTCAATTTTATGTAATGTTGCCATCTTAGATTTCAAATACAAATGTAGCAACAACATTTAATCCTTAAGGGTTGATTTTTAAAAACTACCAAAACACGTATTTGCTTAATTTGAATAATGAGCAACCTTCGAGTAAGTCCGAGTACAAATAAAATATACCCTATGGAAACGTTGCAACCTCTTTTCATTTGATTAATAATATCAAACAGCACATGTACCAAGTTTCAAGTAAATTCAACCACAAATAAAGTATGTCCCAAATAAATTTTGCAATACCTTTTTACTCGAGATAGGTCTTTCAGAAATTAAATGAGAAACCATTAAGACCAAGTTTCAAGTAAATCTGACCACAAATAACACGACTTTCTTTTATATAGGTATATTGATAGATGGAAAAATGGGTATTTTTACGAATTTCCTTAAACCGTGATTGATGATTATATCTTACATATAACAGAATATCCTAAGGACTAAATAAGACAGACGTAGGTACATGAAAAAAAGTGATAATAGAGTTATATTTTTAATAATTTTGATAGCGATTCTAAAAAGTTTTAATTAACAGGTGTCTGCTTTAAATTTGATAAATTATTTCGAGAAAGAAAAAACAATGTAGAATTTACCAACCAATGTCGAGTTTACCTTGGAGTCGCACCATACGATCAGATTTGTCTATAATAAGCATTGTAAGTGCGGGGGGGTCTAAAGTCATTACGAAAAGCTTAGTTACTAACGAAATCTGTATCTTAATGCGACATATTTAGTAGTTGATAATTTTCAATTTAATTAGATAAGTGATAAGTATTAGGTAATTGGAATTATAAATAGATATACATTTAATATCGGTAGTAACAACAGTGCTGTCTCCAACAGGGGTAAAATTTGTATTCATTGTTTGTCGCATGCTTGCCAATGAATTTTTTCTTGCACATACACCTACTTCATTTAAAAAGTTTTAATTACCTTGTTTAATTAAAAAAAAAAACAGTTATTTCAAGGCTACGCCACTGGTAACACGAGAATGTACTACTTATAAGAACATGACAACAGGGATTTTTTTAATACTTCAAGCAAAAATATCCGATTACGTAAGATAGCGTGCGAGCTACACGTTAAAGAGAAGTTTCTGGAAAAAACAAAAAAAGAAGCATGTAATCAATTAAGATTTTTTCTTACTTTTGCCATCGTCCTTAGCTTTCACTTTATCTGTCATTTTAATTATATGGACTGGAGTTAAGGTATTTTCAAATTCATTATCTATTAGCAGGTAGGAAAATATCGACGACAGTTAAAGTATACCACAACGGACTACTTGATTTGGACTAAGGGATTGTACTCTTACTACATGACCCATTCGGGGGGGGGGGCTTAAAAAAATACCATGCATGATCGTAAGGGGCCGGGGGATTTGCTCCACGTACTTAGTCAATATCCTCTAGAGAAATCTCGCTTTTTTTTTCGAGTTATATTGAAATCTTTCTATTTGCAAAAAATAATTTGAAACCATATATGTTAATTATTATGTGAAAACTAGAGGGGGAGAGGGGTCTTGGTGTATATGTACCAGGGGTGATCAGCGAGGAGGGGTAAAAATTGCCAATTGAAGAGAGCCCAAAAAATTTTAAATTTCTTGGAAATATTGGATCGATATTGTTTTCCGGGTTCAATGTCATGGTCCACTGGATTTTGAAGTTTCAAATTGATATCAGCACCTGCCAAATTACCACTTATCGTACCTTTAGCAAGGAACTGTGAAATTCTATGAATTATGACAAAAGCTAAAGAAACTATGGATTTCATTTCTTTCTCTTATTACAATGTGCAAAACAAAATGGGGTTGTAAATATTTTGATATAAAATGATTGATGTTGATTTTACATCAATAAAATTATTTACAACCTTGTTTTGACTCTGATCTTTTACGCTAAGCAAACCATTTTGACATCAGTGTCTTTTTTCCAATTAAAACAAAAAAAGGCTAATAAGGAAGGATATAGAAGAATTATTTGTTACTGAGCTGAAGAAATTGTAACATAAAGATAGAAAAACTATATTTCAATCACTTCAAACAGAAAAATACGAATCATACTTAATCTTCGCAGCTGGTGGTATAGTGCTAACACCACTATTAGTCTAGAAAAACTCCAATA